CCAAATAACGAGAACTATTGGACTTGAATCTGATTGGAAGAACGATTAAGGTGCCCACTCTTCTTGTCTTTGATGTTAATCGTTAAGCTGTCGGGCTGAAACAAGATCGCATCAAAATCAGTAAAAGACAATTTTTTAAGCCAAGGATATTACTCCATTAACAAGGATGAAGACGAATGAATGGGACTGCAAAACAAAAAAACGCTAAAACTTGCAATTTACCTGGAGAATACTTAGAGAACACATCGGGTTCTTGCTGACTATGAGGACGCCACCAGCATTGTCAAACTCACCACAGTAATTTGGAGCGATGAACAGAGTAACGAGCTGGAAATTAAGGACAAAAAAGGAGGAATGAAACTGCCTGTCATTTCAAACAACGATTATGAAGTGAAATCATACTAGACAAATTTTTTTCGTCTCAGGTTTACATCCAATCTACAACCACATTTACACCTGCAATTTCCCCTCTAAAAGTTCTGATAAAACATTATAATTTGGATATATCAACAAAGTTGAAATGGTAAAACGAAGTGGATTGATGCACGAAAAGTATCGACAGAAGGCAATAAACGGCACAGCAGGTGATCGACTTTAATTTTTTTTCCAAGTGAATGATTGACGCAACTTCATTTCAAATTTCGTAATATCCCATCTAAGAAAATAAAGCGCAAACGCCTGTTAAGTGGGTCAACTGACCAATCGCATTTCACGACCTGAAACATATGGTCTGGGTATCGCAAAACTTTCAGGTAGCCCTGAAGGCTCTTGGAAATAATCATTCCGAAACATCTCCGAATCGGCGTAGCGAGTGCAAAATATAAAAGAAAAAAGACCAAAATACCAGTTTAATTAACGGTATCATCGCGAGCGAGTAACATGGCCAGACAACACTTGTCGCATGATTGTCAGTAGAACTGACAATAATCATTCACTCGACTCTGATGATGACTTCCGCACAGGTTGTCGAAACGTCAGTCACTACCAACGACAACAGTCCTTCTCAGCACTACACTCACCCGGACGATCAGACTACATCTTCACATTATTCGACAAGTTGAAAGACTTAATGAAACGCAGTGGATTGATGCACGAAAAGTATCGACAGAAGGCAATAAACGACACAGCAGGTGATCGACTTTAATTTTTTTTCCTAGTGAATGATTGACGCAACTTCATTTCAAATTTCGTAATATTCCATCTAAGAAAATAAAGCGCAAACGCCTGTTAAGTGGGTCAACTGACCAATCGCATTTCACGACCTGAAACATATGGTCTGGGTATGGCAAAATTTTCAGGTAGC